CATCCCATCTTCATAATTACATATTTGGAATCAGCACACTTAAAACATAAACATAACCAAAAATCAGCCAAATACATCCAGGGGTTAAAAAGTTAGCTGGAGGTCTCTTTATGACCGACCGCAAGCACATTTTCCTGCCCAAAACAGTTCCATAGATTTGGCTGTGAGGTCGGTCTATTTCAGGCTGAAAAAACGACAAAGTCCCATCGCCGAATGGCACTTAGTCTCTGCAGCTGAAATAAGGCTGAAAAAAAGACTAAGTCCCATCGCCGAATGGGACTTAGTCTCTGCAGCTGAAATAATTTCCCATTTACTGAACCAAGTGGGAAATAGCAAGGCAGGCACAAAGGGTTTGTACCAGGTCTGGGGACACAGGGGACACCGTCTTAAAGGGGCCGTGTCCCCAACAAGTCTGGGGACACGGCCTTAAAGGGGCAGTGTCCCAATCTTCCTGATGTCCCAAAAAAGCTGTTTAAAGGGCCAGCACCAGTCACATAAAGAGTCCATAAGCCCCAATATGCCCACTGATAGTCTTAAAGGCCATACACACCAAATAAAAGTGCATACATTTTCACAATCTCCCAGGGGCCATAGTCATGTGGGAGGAGGCTGGCAAATAGGCTTTTCCACAACCCAGGGAAGCAGGGCAATTTGCCATTTAAAGGGCCCGTTACAAATAGCAGTTTGTAACAAGGTGTCAATCCATATCTGCCAAGTGACCCGATGTAGGGGACCAGTCCCTATTCTGCTCTGTGTCAGTGTGTACCAGGGAACCTTAGGACAGGTGTCAATCCATATCTGCCAAGTGACCCGATGTAGGGGGAACAGTCCCTATTCTGCTCTGTGTCAGTGTGCATCAGGGATCCTTAGGACAGGTGTCAATCCATATCTGCCAAGTGACCCTATGTAGGGGGACCAGTCTCTATTCTGCTCTGTGTCCGTGTGCATCAGGGGCTCTGAGGACAGGTGTCAATCCATATGTCAAGGTGTCAATATGTCATATGTCAGGTGTCAATCCATATTCATTGTGATTTAGGAATGTTAGGTGATTTCTGCCCTTTATGGATTAAAACTAGACTCTGTATCAACTGTGTAATTTTCCATGGGAGTTTTGCCATGGATCCCCCTCCGGCATGCCACAGTCCAGGTGTTAGTCCCCTTGAAACAACTTTTCCATCCCTATTGTGGCCAGAAAGAGTCCCTGTGTGTTTTAAAATTCGCCTCCCCATTGAAGTCAATGGCGTTTCGGGCGGTTCGCCGGTTCGCGAACATTTGCGGAAGTTCACGTTCGCCGTTCGCGAACCGAAAATTTCGGGTTCGCGACATCACTACCTAGGATTGACTCTAGACTGTCCAACCTGGCCCATAAGGAACTTCTGTTTTGTGAACCCTTTCTTAAAGAACTACGGAAACACATGAACCTGTTTACCAGCTTGGATAAGGTTCAGGTCTCCATCAGTCCTCACCAACCAAGTTTCCGAGTCAGACAGGCATTATTATTCTTCCTTGGAACTGCGGTATGAAATGCCATTCCCTCTCAAAAAAGTCAGAATCAAGGTGAAGGTTCATGACAGATGAGTAACCGAATTCCACATGATTTACATTCTTTTACCACTGGCAGACTTTTCCTTTTCCTTCAGGAATGGAAGTAATTAATGTCAAACACTAGGGTACTGCAGACTGTCCAAGGCTACATGATCGAATTTTATATAGATCTGTCTGCAGAAGACCCCACCATGTTCTATTGTTATCTGTAGAATGCAGAGCCTTTATAGATATAGAGATCCAAATGCTTTTCTCCAAAGGTGTGGCTCATTTCATTAGACTACAGTTTTTTCAGCAACATCTTTCTAGTGTAAAAGAAGACAGGAAATTTTTATCCCATCATCAATCTGTCAACTCAACATTTTTGTGTACTACCAGAATTTCAAGATAAAAGCAATCCATCTTTTGATCTGTCAACCTGAACCATGGGTACTTGTCAGTGCTGGTGGCTCAGAAAGGTCAACGCTTTCTTCAATCTGTGGCAGGATTGTATATGCCAATTCACTTGTCTTCCTTTTGTTTTACCCCCTGGTGTTTTACCAAGTTACTGAATCTGATAATATCAAATATGGATGATGTGATGTCACATGATGATGGCAAAAGGCTTTCACTGTCTAATCTACTTGGATGACCTTCTATTCTTTTGCTACACTGCCTCACATTTGCAATTGCATGTACACTTATTGGAAGGAGGGCCTACTGTCCTCTATAATTCAGGCAATCTACCCAGAACCACTCTACTTTAGAGCCATGCAATGGATGAAAGCCAGTTTCCTCAAATGCCCCTCTTACAATTAATTTATTCCACTCACACTCCAAATGTCAAGACAGAGCTTCGTTTTTGGATATTTTACATGAAGGTGTGAAATGGCAAAGTCATTTTCAGTCTGTCACTGCAGTTTGTGGTAGAGTCAGATTAGGGGCCTGTGTGGACGCCTTGATGGGGTCGCTGGTCAGATGCAGAGGTAAACCTGCACATCAGCTGCCTGAAACTAATAGTGGGGTCATTGTGATAAATCTGTCCAACTGCTGTTTACTACTTTAGGTGGGCAACATGTCCACAGTACAGTATATAAATAAGCATTGAAGCACTTGCTTCCTTCTTCTTTTGGAAGTAGCAAAGTAGATCCATTATTTATGCTTTCGGTGCAATGTTACTCAAAGAGCAGAATATCTGCCGGGAGCCACCAATCTCAAGTACCAATTAGTACTCCTGACATCAGAAGAACATTTACTGAGAGTAGTGATTAGGCGTTGTATGAAATGATCTCTTCAAATCAATGAAATTAGGGGTCCACTGGTGATGGAACTGTTCGCTTCCAGGACAAATGATCAACTTCTGTTTTTCTTCAATTGGCTATCAGATCCAGACTTTGCTGCAGTGGACACATTTCTGCCAGTGGGCATATCCATTG